AAGCCCTGACTTCAGGGTTACCTCACACTTCAGAAACTTCTGGTGGTTCAGCTGTTCTGAAATATGGTCTTGAGTTTTGGTGTTGCACATTTTTAGGAGGTATTTATTGGGAGTGAAACAGGAATCTTGTATTCCATGTCCACAGGAATATTCTTGTTGTCTTTCTAATGGGTAGACAAGAGTCTGGACTTCCAGGGCACCATGAATCATCTGATCATATTTCTAAAAACGAAACAGGAATCTGTTTCTATGTTCACTATGTTCCCAGAAAGCTTCTACACTTGTTACTAAAGAGAAACCAGGAAACTCTGTTTTCCATGTGACTTGCAATCTTCTGAACAATTGCTAACTTATCCCTGGCTTAAGGTAGTTCTCATACCTAGGAATCTACAGGGACTAAATACTAATCTGAACTCTGGGAGCCCTGGTACCCGCATTTTTCAGAGCTACATCCTATATGCATACCAAAAATCGGTCATTACCGATCCCCAGGAACTTGCTGCTCATCTTGACAGTTATAATTGAGAATCAGGCCTACTGGTCCATTTTTTTCACAGGGATGTGTAAGGACAGGTCCCACAACCTAAGAAATCATCTTACCATTTTTTAATGTAATCGCTGGCTTCAGGTTTACCTCATATTCCAGAAACGACTGCTGGACGTTCTGGTTAATATTCAAAACATGGGATTAGGGGTTTCCACATATTTCTGACATAATCTTAAGGGGCATCCAGTAATCTTGTATTCCAGGTCCCTGAGGACCTACTGGGTGTATGAATATTGGTATATAAGAGTTTGTAGTTCCACATCACCACAAAAGGTCCGGGCATCTTCCTGAGGAAAAAAAGGAATCTCTGTTACAGGAGTCCTCAATCCAAGAATTCTAGAAGGCCTCTCATAAAGGGTTATCTGGAATCTGTGATTCTTCTTCCCCACATTCTTCAGGGCTACATGTCACTTGGATACGACAATTTTGTCATTATAGATTCCCTGCTACCTTCTGGTCCTCTTGATATTTGTATCAAGAATGTGTCCCTACAAGTCCGTTGGGTTCCTTGGGACAAGTAAGGCAAAATTTTGGGACCCAAAGAATCATCTCGCCATATTTATCTGTAACTCTTAAGATGTACATTGTAATCCTAAAACCTCCTTTTTTCCTTCTATTTGTTTAGGGGCCTGGCGTTTTGAGGTTGCCAAATATTTAGTAAGTATATTTAAGTGTAACCAGGAATCATGGATGCCAAGTCTCTACGAAATTTCTGGGCATCTGTCCTAATATAAAGGAAGCTACATGGCCTTTTGCTAATGAAGAATAAGGAATCTGGGTATACACGAGTCCTCAAACCCAAAAATCTACAGGGCGTCTTGCTAAAAGAAAACAAAAATCAAGGTTTCAAAGCAGGAATCTGTGTAATGGGAGTACTCATATACAGGAAAGCATAAGACCTCTTGTTAAGGAAAAAAAATGAACTGAGTTACACGAGTCCTCAATACCAAAAATTTACAGGGCGTATTGCTGATGCCTACAAGAATCCAGACTTCGAGGTCCCCACATTTTTCAGAGTTATTTGCTACCTGGATATTATCATCTGTCATTCCAGAACTCCAGCAACATTCTGGTCCTCTCGATAGTGGTAAATGAGAATCTGGCACATTTCCATATAGATTCTTGGACCCTCTAAGGCCAGTTTCCAGGACACAAGTAATCATCTCGGTTTTTTGTATGTAGGCCATGACTTCAGAGTTACCTCATCTCGAGAAACTTCTAGTGGTTCAGCTATTCGGAATTAGGACCTCGGGTTTAGGTGATGCAAATTTTTAGGAGGTATTCTACAGTGGACCCTGGAAGCTTGGATTTCAAGTCCTCAGGAACATTCTTTCATTTTTCTATTATTAACCAAGAGTCTGGACTTCCAGGGCACCAGGGAACATGTGGTCGTTTTGCTGAGAACAAAACAGTATTCTGGGACACTCTTTCCCCAGAAAGCTCCTACAACTGTTACTAAGGTGGAACAAGGAAACTCAGATTCCATTTCACCAGTAAACTTCTTGGCAGTTGTTAATTTATCCCTGGATTAAGGTAGTTCACATAATTAGATATCTACAGGGACTTTTCCAAATGTTACTTAGAAAATTGTGGGTCCCGGTCCCCACATTTTTCAGTACTACTTCCTATATGCATACCACAAATTGGTAATTACCGATCCCCAGGAATCAGTTGTTCCTCTTGATAGTCGTAACTGAAAATCTGGCCTACTGGTCCGTTTGTTTGGCAGGGACCTGGAAGACCATATTCCAGAACCCAAGGAATCATCTCGCCATTTTTTAATGTCATTTCTGGCTTCAGGTATACCTCACACACCAAAAACTTCTTCTGCAAGTTCTGGTTGATATTCAGAACATGGGATTATGGGTTCCCACATGTTGTGGATGAATTATTAAAGAAGAGCCTGCAGTCATGCATTCCAGGGCCCTTGGGACCTTCTGGGCTTATAAGTATTGGTATACAGGAGTTTACATTTTCGTTTCACCAGGAAATGTCCAGGTGTCTTCCTGAGAACAAAAAAGGAATCTGGGTTACAGGAGTTCTCAATCCAAGAAATCTACAGGGCCTCTTGAAAAAGTCTAATTGGGAATCTGGGCTTCTAGTTCCCTACATTCTTCAGGGCTACTTGCCATTTTGAAATGACAATTGTGTCATTACAGATTCCCAGCTACCTTCTGGTCATCATGATAGTTGTTTCCGAGAATCTTTCCCTACAAGTCCATTGGGTTCCTCAGGACTAGTAAAGTCAGATTACAGGACCCAGTGAATGATCTTGCCACATTTGTATGTAACCTTTGACTTAAGATGTACGTTGCAATCCTAAAACTTCTGTTTATCCTTCTATTTGGATATGGTCCTGGGGTTTTGAGGTTGCCAAATATTTAGTACGTATTTTTAAGTGTAACCAGGAATCATGGATGCCACATCCCTGGGAAACTTCTGGGCATCTGCCCTCATGTAAAGGAAACTACACAACCTCATGCTAAGGAAGAATACACAATCTTGGGTATACACGTGTCCTCAATCCCCAAATTATACACGGCTACTGGTTAAGGGCTAAACAATGATCAGGGTTTGGAAGCAGGAATCTGTGTAATGCAAGTCCTCATATGCAGTAAACTACACGGCCAGTTGCCAAGGAATAATAAGGAATCGGGGTGCAGAAGACCTCAATTCCAAAAATCTACAGGGCATCTTACTACGGGCTAAACAGGAATCAGGGTTCTGAGGCAGGTATCTAGAAAATGAGAGTCATCATATAAAGTAGTTACACGCCCTATTGTTAAGGAAGAATAAGGAATCCGGGTAACATGAGTCCTCAAATCCCTAAAATCTACAGGGCATCTTGCTAATGGCTAAACAAGAATCAGCGTTTCAAAGCAGGAATCTGGGTAATGGGAGTCCTCATATGCAGAAAAATTGATAAGGAAGAGTAAGGAATTTGTGTTACATTAGTTCTAAATAACAAAAATCTTCAGGTCATCTTGCTGAAGCCTACAATAATTCTGTCTTCCAGGTCCCACATTTTTCAGAATTATTTGCTATATGGATAATATGAATCGGTCAGTCCAGAACTCCAGAAACATTCTGGTCCTCTCGGTAGTGGTAAACAAAAATCTGGCACTACAATTCCATTTAGATTCTTGGATCCTCTAAGGCCAGATTCCAAGACACATGTAATCATCTCTGGTTTTTGTATGTAAGCCCTGATTTCAGGGTTACCTCGTCTCCAGAAACTTCTTGTCGTTCTGCTATTCGGAATGAGGACCTTGGGTTTATGTGTTGCACATTTTTTAGGAGCTATTCTTGGGATGGACCCAGGAATCTTGAATTCCAAATCCCCAGGAACAAACTTTCATCTTTCTATTGGGAGCCAAGGGTCTGGAATTCCAGGGCACCAAGAAATGTCTGGTCGTTTTGCTGAGAACAAAATAGGAATCTGGTTTCTCTGTTCCCAGAAAGCTTCTACACATGTTACTAAGATGGAACAAGGAAACTTAGATTCCCTTTCACCAGTAATCTTCTGGGCAGTTGTTAATTTATCCCTGGCTTAAGGTACTTCTCAAACTTCGAAGTCTACAGGGACTTTGTTAAATACTAATAAGGAATTTGGGATAAGGTCCCCACTTTTTTCAGGGTTACTTTCTATATGCACACCACAAATCGGTCATTACCATTCCCCAGGAACCAGCTGTTCCTCTTGATAGTTGTAACTGGGCTTCCAGGGCACCGGGAAACATCTGGTCATTTTGCTGAGAACAAAACACGTATCTGGGTCCCAACGTCCCCAGGAAGCTTCCACACCTGTTAATAAGGTGGAACAAGGAAACTCGGATTTCATTTCACCAGTAAACTTCTGGGCAGTTGTTTTTTGTTTTGTTTTGTTTTTGGTTTTTTTCAGTTCTACTATTTTTCTTTAATATTTTTGAAAAAATATAATTTTTTTTACAATATTTTCAACTTAAACACTATTTACACTGAACGCATATGGCAGCTTAACCTACCCAAATATGAAGTTTAAGAAGCTGAAACTGTTCTAGCTTTGTTAAAAGAAATGTTGTGCTGCAGACTACTGTCAGGATGGTTAACAAAGCAAGGAAAAGCACCACTCGAGTCATGTTATGAAAGTTTTGTTCAATTGGATTACGGGTTGGTGTTGATCATATAATGAATCCTTAGAAGATGTACTTTTCAAATCACATACTTTCTCAGACGTAACATCAGGAGCAGAATTCAGTATCTCTAACATAATAATATACCACAATAGCCAGGACTAGCTCTCATCTGACCACTACCTCAGTAATCAAAGACATACATGTCTATAACAAATTATCTAATGGGGAGACACCCCTTATCAACACGGGTGCCCAAATGAAGCATATTTGCACACTCAACCCTCAACTGTACCCAATATTAAAATAAAAAATATTGATTGTAAAAACAGAAACAAATTATCTCATATTAACAGACCTTCTTCAGAAATAGCAGATTCTTTCTGATGGGGACAAATGCAAATTTAAGTGTGAACTGAGCAATCTGCTTAACAAAACAGCTTAAATTTACTGATTTTAAAAAGTTTAGACATCTACAAGTGTTATTTAACCCTAGGGGACCAGTTTAACCGCAAAGACGACAATTTAGTAAGATTTAGAAGTCTTTTAATTTGGTGCTTATACACAACTTGACTGGTGCTTCTTTCCTCGCTGTCTTCACATCAAGCCATGGGACCATTTCTGTTTTCAGTAAATGTTTGACAGCTTTTAACTTCGTAACAGTCTCAGCACTTTTATTAAGCATGCAAGACTAACAAAAAGTTTGACAATGCATAAGTGTAACACAGTGATAAGAGAGCTTTTACAATTCAGTCTTCTAATACTGCCTTCACAGTGTGGAAATTGTGCTACATCCACCAAAAGAGGACCCCGTTACTGAAATATTTAGTACTTCACCCCAGGAACAAACTCCTTTGAATTTGGATTCAGATTGCTCTTGATCACAAGATTTTCCAGAGAAGAGCCATCACTGATAACAAGGTCATTAAATTGGTCTTGGATTTGGTCCATAGTTTGTGGGAGATATCGAGCTGGAATAAACCACTCATGCTCTTCTTCTTCTTCCAGAATTTCTTGGAAACAGCGTTCAATAAATACTTCTTCCCATAACTCCTCTTCTATTTGTCTGTTGAACTCCTCTTCATTTTCCATCCACATGCACTCTGCAAATGGATTGTCATCTTCATGAGAATGACCATTAATAATCACATCTTCATTGATGATACTTGGGCTAGTACTACTGCGACTTGGATCATTCATGTTTGGCATTAGTTGTCATTTCTAACCCAGTGCACAGCAGCAGGCACGGCAGCCAACGCATCCGGTCGGCATCCGCAGATCTCCACAGGCAGTGCCACTTCCCCGCTCGATGTGCAATTCATTCGCTGCCTCCCTTCTCCATGGATCCATGAATCATGGATACCACGTCCCTAGAAAACTTGTTTTCATCTGTCCTCATATAAAGGAAACTACACAAATGCTTGATAAGGAAGAATAAGGAATCTTGAGTATACACGTGTCCTCAATCCCAAAATTCTACACAGCATCTTGCTAAGGGCTAAACAATGATCAGGGTTTGGAAGGAGAAATCTGTGTAATGGGAGTCATCATATACAGGAATTGCACGTCCTCTTTTAAAGGAAGAATCAGGAAACTGGGTAACACGAGCCCTCAATGCCTAAAACCTACAAGGCGTCTTGCTAATGGCTAAACACGAATCAGGATTTCGAAGCAGGAATCTGGGTAAGGGGAGTCCTCATATACAGGAAACTACATGGCCTCTTGATAAGGAAGAATAAGGAATAGGGGTTACACGAGTCCTCAATACCAAAAATCTACAGGGCGATTTACTGAGGTTTACAAGAATCCTGCCTTCGAGGTTCCCTCATTTTTCAGAATTATTTGCCTTGTGGATTTTATGAATCAGTCATTCCAGAACTCCAGAAACATTCTGGTCCTCTCAGTAGTGGTAAACGAGAATCTGGCACTACAATTCCATTGAGATTCTTGGATCCTCTAAGGTCAGATTCCAGGACACATGTAATCATCTTGGATTTTTGTATGTAAGCCCTGAATTCAGGGTTAACTCATCTCCAGAAACTTCTTGTGGTTCAGCTATTTGGAACGAGGACCTTGGGTTTAGGTGTTGCGCATTTTTTAGGAGGTATTCTTGGGATGGAACCAGGAATCTTGAATTCCAAGTCCTCGGGAACAATCTTTCATCTTTCTATTGGGAGCCAAGGGTCTGGAATTCCAGGACACCAGGAAACGTCTGGTCGTTTTGCTGAGAACAAAATAGGAATCTGGGTCCTTACGTCCCCAGAAAGCTTCTACACCTGTTAGTAAGGTGGAACTAGGAAACTCGAATTTCATTTCACCAGTAAACTTCTGGGCAGCTGTTAATTTATCCCTGACTTAAGGTAGTTCCCATACTTACAAATCTACAGGGACTTTGTTAAATACTCATAAGTAATTTGGGAGTCATGGTCCCCACATTTTTCAGAGCTACTTCCTATATTCATACCACAAATCGGTCATTACCACCCCCCAGGAACCAACTACTCCTCTTGATAGTTGTAACTGATATTCTGGCTTTCTGGTCCGTTTGCTTCCCAGGGACCTGGAAGACCAGATTCCACAACCCAAGGAATCATCTCTCCAATTGTTAATGTAATCTCCTGCTTCAAGTGTACCTCGTACATCAGAAACTACTGCTGGAATTTCTGGTTGACATTCGGAATATGGGATTAGGGTTGCCCACATATTTTGAACGTATCCTTAAGGGAGAACCAGCAGTCATGGATTCCAGGGCCCTTGGGCCTTCTGGGCCTATGAGTATTGGTATATAGGAGTTTACAATTCTGTTTCGCCAGGAAACGTCCAGGCGTCTTCCTGTGAACAAAAAAGTAATCTGGGTTATAGGAGTCCTCAATCCAAGAAATCTACAGGGCCTCTTGATAAAGTCTAATGGGAATCTGGACTTCTAGTTCCCTACATTGTTCAGGGCTCCTTGCCATTTGGAAATGACAATGGTGTCATTATAGATTCCCAGCTATCTTCTGGTCATCTTGATAGTTTTAACCAAGGATCTGTCCCTACAAGTCCTTTGGGTTGCTCGGAACTAGTAAGGTTAGATTACAGGACCCAATGAATGATCTAGCCATATTTGTAAGTAACCTTTAGTTAAGATGTACTTTGTAATCCTAAAACTTCTGTTTGTCCTTCTATTTGAATATGGGCTGGGGGTTTTGAGGTTGCTCAATATTTAGTGCATATTTTTAAGTGTAACCAGGAATCATGGATGCCACGTCCCTAGGAAACTCCTTTTCATCTGCCCTCATATAAAGGAAACTACACAACCTCTTGTTAAGGAAGAATATGGAATCTTGGGTATAAACGTGTCCTCAATTCCAAAATTCTACTCAGCTTCTTGCTAAGGGCTAAACAATGATCAGGGTTTGGAAGCAGGAATCACTGTAATGGGAATCCTCATATGCAGGAAACTACAAGACCTCTTGCTAAGAAAGAATAAAAAATCTGGGGTACAGGAGTACTCAATCCAAAAAATCTACAGGGCATCTAGCTAAGGGCTAAACAGGAATCAGGGCTTCAAAGAAGGAATCTGGGTAATGAGAGTCCTCATATACAGGAAACTACATGGTCTCTTGATAAGGAAGAATAAGGAATAGGGGTTACATGAGTCCTCAATACCAAAAATCTTCAGGGCATCTACTGAGTCCTACAAGAATCCTGCCTTCGAAGTCTCCACATTTTTCAGAATTATTTGTTATGTCGATATTATGAATCAGTCATTCCAGAACTCCAGAAACATTCTGGTCCTCTCAGTAGTGGTAAACGAGAATTGGCACTACAATTCCATTGAGATTCTTGGATCCTCTAAGGCCATATTCCAGGACACATGTAATCATCTCGGAATTTTGTATGTAAGCCCTGATATTAGGGTTACCTCTTCTCCAGACAATTCTTATTATTCTGCTATTCAGAATTAGAACCTTGGGTTTAGATGATGCACATTTTTATGAGGTAATATTGGGATGGAACCAGGAATCTTGAATTCCAGGAACAATCTTTTATCTTTCTATTGGGAGCCAATGGTCTGGACTACCAGGGCACCGGGAAACATCTGGTCGTTTTGCTGAGAACAAAATAGGAATCTGCGTTTCTCTGTCCCCAGAAAACCTCTACACCTGTTACTAAGGTGGAATAAGAAAACTTCAATTCCATTTTGCCAGTAAACGTCTGGACAATTGTTAATTTATCCCTGGCTTAAGGTAGTCCTCATACTTAGAAGTCTACTGGGACTTTCTAAATGTTAATAAGTAATTTGGGAGTCATTGTCCCCACATTTTTCAGAGCTACTACCTATATGCATACCACAAATTGATCATTGCAATCAGGAACCAACTTCTCTTCTTGATAGTTGTAACTGATATTCTGGCCTTCTGGTCCGTTTGTTACACAGGGACCTGGAAGACCAGATTTCATAACCCAAGGAATCATGTCGCCCTTTTTTAATGTCATCTCTTTCTTCAGGTATACCTCGTACATCAGAAAATACTGCTAGAATTTCTGGTTGATATTCGGAACATGGGATTATGGGTTCCCACATATTTTGAATGTATTCTTAAGGGAGAACCAGCAGTCATGGATTCCACGGCCCTTGGGACCTTCTGGGCGTATGAGTATTGGTATACAGGAGTTTACAATTCCGTTTCACCAGGACACGTCTGGGCATCTTCCTGTGAACAAAAAAAGGAATCTGGGCACAGGAGTCCTCAATCCAAGAAATCTACAGGGCCTCTTGATAAAGTCTAATGGGAATGTGGGCTTCTACTTCCTTACATTCTTCAGGGCTACTTGCCATGTGGAAATGACAATTGTGTTATTATAGAGTCCCAGCTACCTTCTGGTAATCTTGATAGTTGTAACCGAGAATCTGTCTCTACAAGTCTTTTGGGTTCCTCGGGACTAGTAAAGTCAGATACAGGAAACTGTGAATGATCTCGCCATATTTGTATGTAAACTTTGACTTAAGATGTACGTTGTAATCCTCAAACTTCCTTTTGTCCTTCTATTTGGATATGGACCGGGCATTTTGGGGTTGACAAATATTTAGTATGTATTTTTAAGTGTAACAGGGAATCATGGATGCCACATCCCTAGGAAACTTCTGGGCATCTGTCTTCATATAAAGCAAACTACACAACCTCTTGCTAAGGAAGAATAAGGAATCTTGGGTATACATGTCATCTCAATCCCAAATTCTAAATGGAGTCTTGTTAACTGCTAAACAATGATCAGGGTTTGGAAGCAGGAATCTTTATAATGGGAGTCCTCATATGCAGTACACTACATGGCCACTTGTTAGGGAAGAATAAGGAATCTGGGGCACAGGTGTGCTTAATCCCAAAACTCTACAAGGCTTCGTGCTAAGGGCTAAACAGGAATCAGTGTTTCAAAGCAGGAATCTAGGTAATGGGAGTCATCATATACAGGAATTACATGGCCTCTTGTTAAGGAAGAATAAAGAATCTGGGTAACACGAGTCCTCAGTCCCCAAAATCTACAGGGCATCTTGTTAATGGCTAAACAAGAATCAGGATTTCAAAGCAGGAATTGGGTAATGGGAGTCCTCATATATAGGAAACTGCATTCCCTCTTGATAAGGAAGAATAAGGAATATTTGTTACACGAGTCTTCAATACCAAAAATCTTTGGGCATCTTGCTGAGGCCTACAAGAATCCTGCCTTCAAAGTCCCCATATTTTTCAGAATTATTTGCTATGTGGATATTATGAATCAGTCATTCCAGAACTCCAGAACATTCTGGTTCTCTCGGTAGTGGTAAACGAGAATCTGGCACTACTATTCCATTTAGATTCTTGGATCCTTTAAGGCCAGATTCCAGGACACATGTAATCATCTCGAGGTTTGGAATGTAAGTCCTGATTGCAGGGTTATCTTGTCTCCAGAAACTTCTTTTGGTTCAGGATTTCGTAATTAGGACCTTGGGTTTAGGTGTTGCACATTTTTTAGGAGGTATTATTGGAATGGAACCAGGAATATTGAATTCCAAGTCCACGGGAACAATCTTTCATCTTTCTTTTGGTAGCCAAGGGTCTGGACTTCCAGGGCACTGGGAAACATCTGGTTGTTTTGCTGAGAACGAATTAGAAATATGGGTTTCTTCATCCCCAAAAAGCTTCTGCAGCTGTTACTAACGTGCAACAAGGAAACTTGGATTCCTTTTCACCAATAAACTTCTGGGCAGTTGTTAATTTATCCCTTGGTTAAGGTAGTTCTTATACTTAGAAGTCTACAGGGACTTTGTTAAATGCTAATAAGGAATGTGGGTGTCATGGTCCCCACATTTT